GGACCATTCTCCGCTGTTCCATTGGGACCATTCCCTGCTTTTCCACTGGAACCATTCCCTGCTTTTCCACTGGAACCATTCCCTGCTTTTCCACTGGGACCATTCCCTGCTTTTCCCCTGGGACCATTCCCTGCTTTTCCACTGGGACCATTCTCTCCTTTTCCCCTGGGACCAGTCACTGCTTTTCCACTGGGACCATTCCATCCTTTTCCCCTGGGACCATTCCCTCCTCTTCCACTGGGACCATTCTCTGCTTTTCCCCTAGGACCATTCTCCGCTTTTCCACTGGGACCATTCCCTGCTTTTCCACTGGAACCATTCCCTGCTTTTCCACTGGGACCATTCACTCATTTTCCAATGGGACCATTCCCTGCTTTTCCGCTGGGACCATTCCCTCCTTTTCCAATGGGACCATGCCCTGCTTTTCCACTAGGAGCATTCACTCCTTTTATACTGGGACCATTCTCTCCTTTTCCACTGGGACAATTTTCTCCTTTTCCACTGGGACCATTCTCTCCTTTTCTACTGGGACCATTCCCTCCTTTTCCACTGGGACCATTCCTTGGTTTTCCACTGGGACCGTCCCCGCAGTCATGCCTGTTTTTAATACCTGCTTTGATAAGAATTAAAAGGCTCTGACACTGTACCAGAAAGGAGAGAATAACGTGGTTAACTCTATAGGTGGTGCAAACCTGATCAAATGAAAATGTGGTAGATTTTATCCTCAGGGCACCTGACATCTGAGTGGCTGGGGGTTCCTTGTGTTTGACAGCCTCTCTAAGATTCCTAGGCAGAGACAGCAGGCCCATTCAGGCCCGTTCAGGCCTGTTCTTCGCTCACAGCTATTGCATTACTCATGCTGATGTGTTGATATCAACGTTCTCACAAATATTTTTCTAGGACATATTCGTCTGGACCTGCCTGTGCACTCTGTACCCCAGAAGCTCTGCTCTTGTCCTTCTCTTCTGAAAATGTTCAAGGTCTCTCAAGCCTGATACCATACTGCAGCTAGTCAAGGAGCCAGCTAGGTGTGGGTGCAATTAGGGTGAGTCTTCCAATTTCTCTGAAAATAAAAATGCCAGCTACTAAAATTGCTCATCTACATCCCCAGACTAGAGCAAGAATCTCTATGAAGATAACAACCATATGTGCCTGAACAGAAAGAAGTTTGAACATGTTTTTGCTGATGGTTCTAAACATACATCACATTCTGATGAACCACTGGACAGTGCACAGCAAAATACTACCTATGAAATTCAGCCATCTTCAGTATGTATTCACATGCACTAGGATTTTATGATGCTTGATAAAATCTGGCAGGTGAAAAACACTTCTGACTTCACAGTACAGTGCTCAATAACTTGAAAAACGCGAAAAGACCTTGGAAAGCCCCTGAGCCCCCCCACGCGGACACACATACACACACTCATACACACGAGGTCACTCACACACATACACACACTCATACACACGAGGACACTCACACACATACACACACTCATATACACGTGGACACTCACACACATACACACACTCATATACACGAGGACACTCACACACATACACACACATGAAGACACAGACACACACACACACACACGAAGACACTTACACACAGACACACACACATGAAGATACTCACACACATTCACACACACAGACACACACACACTCAGCCCCAGAACTCCATTTGCCCGTTATACTTGTACACAAACTTTTCAGACGAGTCCAACTGGACTTCATCAAAATGACAAAGAGCTAAGATTACGGAGAGTGTTTTCACAGCTATATCCTCGATCTGACTCCTCCTGGAATGATGGAACACAGAAGTAACAAAACCAAACACAAACAAAGGCAGAGAGCTGTCAGATGAATTCTCCATGAACCGTGCCCTCCAGCACACCTACTGCACCGTGTGACTGGCAATGACTGTGGGAAGCAGTAGGATTTAAGGAGTAAGGAACGTGCTGGACACCTGGAGAACCGTCAGATACCCAAGTACCAAAAGCACTTATGGGCTGGCTGCTGTCATCGCCATAGCAACCTACCATGCTGGGAAGGACCGTGAAGTCTTATTTACACACATGATCCATGACTCAGCCTATGATACGCATCAGGAAGAAACGCTATAACTGCTTTAAAAGTGAATCTAGGAAATAGACTTCTGTCTGACTATCGGATTCTGGAAGGCAAGTTGTTTAAGGTCTTCTTCAAATTCTCACCGCACTGCCTGTTTTGCTTACTTCTGTTTTGTGAAATTTGCTTAGGAGGCACTTCATTAAAGGTTTACATATAAAATATCATGGTTCTTATATCCAATACAATAAGCCCATGCGTATAAAAGGCCAAGTTTTATTAAAGTTGGTTTCCTGCTTTAATTCAAAGTCCACCTTATCAGGTTATGAGTATGGATTGTTATTTGACAGGTGTCACATGGACTACAATGGTGTCCCCATACCTGAATGACCTCCACAAAGCTGTACGTCACGGCCAGGTGAACGGTGGAACAGCCTCAGTCGTTGGCTGTGTTCGCATCGACGCCCAGCCTGATGAGGTCACAAGCGATGTGCAGCTGGTTGGTGGTCACCACAACCAGCAGTGGTCCTGGAAAGGTAAGCATTCCATCATAGGAAGGAACCAGTGGCAAAAGCATTGCGTGGGGCCACAAGTGTTTTCGAGCAAACTGTGAGTCTACTACACGGGGTCTACACAGCCTCCGTTCATCCACAGCAGCAGTAACTAGTCAATCAGCAAGACATTTCCATTCGATCAAGATGCACAACCTCCCCATCCACATAGGCTAATCGACCAAAGGGAGCCCCCTCCCCCCCCAGTCGCAACTCATAGCTCCTCAGACTTTTTTCTTTGTAAAAGTAGCCCACACTATAAAAAAGGTTGGAGGTCATGTTGGTTCCCATATCTGGAGTAAAAATGTTGAAGAGCAAAAAAAAAAAAGTGGTTCACAGACATGTCAGCCATATGCATTTAATTTCACATTGTAGCCCAGGGTATTTTTCGACTTATATGACAGCAGGAGTTACCCTTGGTTTCAGTACTTTGGAAGCTGTTCTTAATGAAAACTACTTTATCCCAACAGGGTAGCTGAGTGTCGCCCACAGTGATCATTCTTTAAGGAGAAAATGAAAATCTGACAACTTAGTACTAAATGCTTTAAAACGGATTCTTGTCAACAGTACAGACAGTATAGACAGTATAGACAGTACAGACAGTATAGACAGTATAGACAGTATAGACAGTACAGACAGTATAGACAGTATAGACAGTCATTGGACTCATAATGGACGTTAATCAAAAATAAGAATTGTGAAAAGTATGAAAAAATGAATGGGGTATATTGATGATGAAAATACAGTTTTCATGATAAAAACAGAGACAAAAGAGAACAAAAAAATGAGAAGATATAATCTCAGTTGTTCATATGATTTAAAATAATAGGTGGTTAACAACATTCCATTAATTAATGGAAGATGCATTTCTCAAACGGACAATGATATTTGAGACAACGAGCTGCATGTATTTACTCCCGTTATATTTCTGATATATCATCCAGCAACACAAAAGTTCTTGCCATACTTGTTTCGGGCTGAGTCTCCAGGAGCCATGCTAACAAACTTTGTACTAAGAGAGTAATTTAAACAACGTCATACTCATCTATTCACCCATGCAACAGTAAAGTGGCGCCGTTTTAAAACGGCACCAATATTTACTAGATTGATGCTTCACTCTTGGCATCAAAACAAAAATAAAATAAAACTCCCTGGGAATGTGGGAACAATGTGTAAGATTTGACAAAGCTAAACAAATAGCCCGTGTGATACTGGAAGACAGGTACTCATTCATCTTGATGAATCACACCTTTAGGACGCAGGTGAACTCCGCCCTCTTCAAGTCGGCTACATCAAATTATCCCCCTACAATAAATGCGATATCGGCGCTCAGATAAGCAGGGCGGCGCGTATCAATACATCGTAGAGCAGCCGGAATGTGCCACGTATTTCTCGGGGAGCCCCCTGCACTTCCCCTCCCCCCCACACTGCCTCCAGGCCCTACCTTTCCATGATGCTCCTTGGCATCAATCCCAAACAGCCCCTCGAGTGTCTCCGCAGCTACATGGACGTGTTCCCATATCTCTTTGGTGGTGTAAAGGCGAGAGGAGACATGCTGAAAGTTCTGGGAGTCTTTCCCTCCGTGCCGCAGTGCACACTGGTTTCTTTGGATCTTAAGCAATTGTATTTTAGTAAATATTCAGCTTAACAGAAAGACAAAACCAGACAGTTTTAGGCACGGAGTCTCTTTCTATTACGGCGTTATACTGTAGACCTGATAAATGTTACATTTTCTCAAGATTACCTGGAACCAATAACAGGATGATACATAGGATTCTGTCATGAACACAATGCTGTCTGACCTTTTCTATTCCATTATACTACACATGTGCTAAGTTACAAAGAGACTTCAAGTAAATATGTTTAATTCACTCAATGTAAATAGTTGAGACCAAGACAGGTGAATACATAAATGGCAGAGAGCTGAATAAGTGTTTCAAAATGCTCTGTCGTGCATTTGCCAGGTGCTGGTAAACACTGGATTTCTGACTGAATCTGATCTTCATAAGAAAAGGTTTCGTAACCCATAAATCGTCACATGTAGAAAGGGACTGGTTTGGATTGTTGAGCAGAAAGTGGCTCCCCTTCCTGTTAAAGAGGTGATTTAATTAAACACATTACACAGAAATTTGACTAAACGAAAATGCAAATCTGTTTCAGCAGAATCAAATCATCGTGTTTCATAGCTGACCATTAATGATTGTGTGGGACCGTATTAATGGGTTTGTAGAAGCTGGGGGAATGAAAATTAAGCCAGAAACCCAAAGTTTGATCCAACTGCCTTTTGTTGTAGTTCTGGCCAGAAGACTGTTTGGAAGTCAGACCCCCCCCCAAATTCAGTGTTTACAGCGAGCAGTACAGTGTGATAAAACGATTGTATCTGACATGTATATGTGTACATGGTCAGATTAATTGGAGGAAAAATGCTGTTGAGAGGCAAAGAGATTTATCTTTCTCTTTGTTTAGGTCTTAGTAATCCTGCAGTTCATTAAAAAAATGATTGTTTTTGTCACCAGGTGAATTGTTATGGCTCTGGCCAACTCTTCACTGCATTAAGGTCAGCTTGAGAGCATGCACTGGTACAGTGCATTACTGGGCCCACCACATGGCGAAACACTGGGATCCTGGTTGGCGACCCCTCAGTCCCACCCTCCTGAAATGGCCGTCTGTCTGCCGCAGCCAGGTGTTACGTGGGCGTCCCCTGGGCCTGGTCCAGCCGCTCGAGTCCTCAGCAATGACGATCCTGCGAGCCGGATCACCCTCAGGGAAACGCGCCACATGGCCATAGTGCCGTAACTGATGCTCCACATTAATGATGATTTCAAATATAATGTACAGTGACGATTGCACACATTCTAGAGAATCTACAGTTTAGAAGTGAAGCAACTACTTAAATATAGCCTTTAATTTTTTACTAGATTAATAATATAAGATTTGTATACTCAAGGTAACTATTTGCAAGTTATTTTCATTCCTTTGAACTTTGTGGCTATGACACTAATTACTGGTGAAAATATTATTTTGGCTGCAAATCTACATGCAAATAGGGTCTTAACTACTGTGATAAAAATGTTTGTATGATGTAATGCAGGATATGCGCATGAATTAAAACACTAACAGTAGCAGCATCTTTCATTCATGAAGGAAGGTCACAGAAACACAGGTGTGTCTCCAGAGAGATATTGAGATCAGGAGTCAGATTAGGAGCCGCCACCTTTGGGGTCGAGGCGAAGGTCTTACCTACCAGGCTCTGTGCTGACTGACGAGGGGGGCTGGTGTTCTGAAAGTCTAAAACGGCTGTACAGGTTCATGGATGTCTGGGGCATGCAATCTGCTGCCCTAGGAAGCCGCTCAGTTTGGCTGAGGGGGGGGTCTGCCGTAGGAAGCTGCTGAGTTTGGCGGGGG